AAAAGTTTATTGCATACTCGCACTATGTTAGGTAAGAAGGAAATTGCAAAGAATTTACGATCTTTTCTCTAGAAACACAGTTTTTAGTAAAAAGGCATAGGCAAATGAAATTGGGTAACAGTACGCAGTTAAATATTAGTAAGTTATGAAATGACGTTGTAGGAGTTCAAAAATGGGGCAGTGAGAAGAGTGAAGCATCCTAGAGTGGATTGATATTAGACCTAGAAAATGAAGAGGCTTTGGGATGCTATTGGGCAAACAGGCCTAGGAGGAAAAATAGAGGCCCAGAGCCTTTATAGATAGTGAGAAGGTAGAGCTTGTGGAATTTGGCACACAAAGTATTTTCCACATATGCCATTATCTTTCTGGCTTTGTACTGGAATACCAGGTAAAATGTCATGCTCCTTGGAAAGAACCAATGTCTGCCTTTATCACATTCTCGCCCAGCTCAGTGCCCAACACAGGCTTACTGTTTGGCTTTTTTTTTTCTTTTTTAAGTTTATTTCTGGCAGCCATCTTATCTATAGGAGAGGGTGTTGATGAAATGTGCTTAAGTAAGTTATTTAACTCTATACAGGGACACTAAATTGGATTTTAACATGTAAAATACATGTTGCTGCTTCTAAAATAATCTGGCTGGATCATTGAGGACCTTTCCCTAGACTTAGTTACCTTTTCTTTTGCTCTATTTAAGTGGTAGGAAAGAAAAAAAGGTTTAGAAAATTAAAAAGGAAGGGAATGGGCTTCCCTGGTGGCGCACTGGTTGAGAGTCCGCCTGCTGATGCAGGGGGCGCGGGTTCGTGCCCCGGTCCGGGAGGATCCCACATGCTGTGGAGCGGCTGGGCCCGTGAGCGATGGCCGCTGAGCCTGCGTGTCCGGAGCCTGTGCTCCGCAACGGGAGAGGCCACAACAATGAGAGGCCTGTGTACAGCAAAAAAAAAAAAAAAAAAAAAAAAGGAAGGGAAATAAGGCCAAAATTAAGTCTAAAAACAAGATTAAATTAGCTACTACTCTCCAAAAAAAGTCCATGAGACATGAAGCTAATCCTAAATATCGAGATGTGAAGATAGTCCTACTAAGTATAATCCTGCCCATATTATCACTTTAGGTTTCATAGTGCCTAAATGGCTATATAAACCAATATCAGTTTCTCTGATAATCCTGTGTAGTAGTGTCTTAGTGGTGTAGGAACTGAACCTTAGCTGTGACATGAAACTTGCTACTTGACACCTGAATCAGGAAACCAGAGAGTTAAATTGTACTCCAGTCCATCTAATTAGAGGCTTTTTTGACTCATGGTATTGCATCACAGCAAATGAGAGATCTTGAATTTGTCTTGCCAAAAGCTGTTTTGGGGAGATTACCAACTCAGATTGTTCAGCTGACTCACTGAGTTACATGACTAGTCTTATTTTCTAGAGATGACTGAACAATAAGAATTATAGAAACATAGTGAACTTGGAAAACGTTTAAGAACAACAAAGGCATTATTTGCAGGCAAGAACAAAAATATAAAAGTTACTGTCAAATGAAGCTCTGAGGACTTCCCTGGTGGCACGCAGTGGTTGAGAGTCCACCTGCTGATGCAGAGGACACAGGTTCGTGACCCGGTCCGGGAAGATCCCCCATGCTGCGGAGCAGCTGGGCCCGTGAGCCATGGCCACTGAGCCTGCACGTCCAGAGCCTGTGCTCCGCAACGGGAGAGGCTGCAACAGTGCTTACTGCCAAAAAAAAAAAAAAAAAAAATGAAGACCTGATTCCACAACCAGAACATCATTTGAAACAGCAAAGTAAACTGGTCAGGTATTGCAAGAGAACAAGAGGAAAGCATAGCTTTCTTGTGTCACCGAAACCTTGGCTTGGTGAACATTTTGTAAAAAAAATTGGAAAATTGGTTTTGTGGATCAAACTCAATTTATTATTTTCTCTTGTAGGTTTTCAATAGAACTTCATCACAAATTGGTATGAAATAGTTGATGAGATAACAGTAGAGTTAGATGTTAATTATAGTAATCAGCCCAGCACTGTTAAAAGTCCTTTGAGTTTTGTTCCTTCCCTTTTTGGAGAGGGAAGAGACTGAAAACCAGATATACAAGCTTGCTCCCGCATGTTTCCATTTTAGCCAAACCATTGCAAAACACAGCCTTTCCTGGAAGGGCAGATTCCTTTAACCCTTTCTGCACTAGGCTCCTGCACACTCAGTTCCCTGCAGGAGAGAGTTTTTGTGTCTTGCATTTGCCCATCACCTCCTAGTGCAGTGGGAAAACCCCTCTTACCTGTCCAATGATAGATAGAGTTGGGTGGAGTGTGTTGTGGTCTGTGGAAATGCCCTGAGGAAATAATTCTTTTACAAAGGAAAAGTCTATCTGTGGATTGGGTGTTTTCCCACCAGAGGGTTCTTAGAGATGCCTCCCTGGTATTTTTAGGGCTGGGAAGTGTGATTCTTCCTCCTGTGAATTCTACTTGCCAGGGTTGAGTCCAAACTGGATTATTAGTTACAGGGAGGGCAAGTGCCTATTTTAAGACCTAGAATTATGATACTGAGAATTTGAGATGCTTCAAAATGTTTCTAACTTTCCTCCTGCATGTAATTTCTGTTACCTGGTCACTTAGCTTTGCAGTGATTAACAGGAAATGAAGCCAGTTAATTATTATTGTTTGTTTCATATCCTTTCTGAGCCTTGCTTTCTTCATCTGCAATTGGAGGGGGAAGTTCAGGTGGAGAATGTTGAAGAAGATAATCTAACTTTACTAGGTTTATCTTTATTTAGCATTTATTGTGTGCCAGGCACTGTTCTCAAAATGTAATATCGCCATTTAATTTTCACAACTCAGAGATGGGTACTGCTGTCACCGTTTTATAGATGAAGAAACTGAGGTGAGGATACCTTACCCAAAGTTTATGTAGCTTTTAAGCAGCAGAGCTGAGATTTGAACCCCGAGTTCAAGTATTTGGGCTACATTGTTTAAATCCTAGGGGTGGAGAGAGAAGGAGGCAGCAGCTGGGTATACTATCTATTTTTATAATCTTTTTTTTTTTTTTTTCTTTTTGCGGTACGCGGGCCTCTCACTGTTGTGGCCTCTCCCCCTGCGGAGCACAGGCTCCAGACACGCAGGCTCAGCGGCCATGGTTCACGGGCCCAGCCGCTCCGCGGCATGTGGGATCTTCCCTGACAGGGGCACGAACCTGTGTCCCCTGCATCGGCAGGCGGACTCTCAACCGCTGCGCCACCAGGGAAGCCCTATTTATAATCTTTGTATTGTTGATCTTCAACATGCTGAATTTACTACAGAAAGTTAAGGACTTTAGTTAGAAAATCCATGAAGAAAAGGGGAGTGAGATGAAATTGATTTTGTTGGATACTCCTGTTGATCCTTAAACCTGAATGCCAATCAAGTTTCGTTTTTTTCTGAGAAAGACTGTCTGCTTTTTAAATGAAAAGCTCTTCTGCTCTCCAAACAATTTTTTCAGCAAGGGTCAGCACACTTTCTGTCAAGGGCCAGATA